TTAACGGATAATTTGCCCAGCCCTATATTCTAGATAGATACTGCACAACATAACCAAAGAAATGAATGCTAAATACTTCACGTTCTTTTTCTTTTTCCCATGATGCGTTTCTTTCTAAGTTTGTATAGGAACTTAGCGTTCCAAGTTCTCATTATAAGTGAAAAATAGACAATAAGAAAGGTAGAGAAATTTGTTTAAAGTAAAGTGTTCTTATGTTTTTGTTGCCTTTGATTGGGACCTCCATCATTTGGTATCATAGCTTCGATTGGTATCAAAAGCAACCTTCATTCATCATCTATCTCGGTTTTGATCTGGATCACGTGATTTGTGGTATCAAAACTTTTCTTTTTCTATATATATAAAAAGAAAAGAAAGCACACAATTTTTTTTGTTTTCCAACATATCATTCCACGGTACGTAACAATACATAATCGATGAATGAGAATCAATCTGCGGAGATCTAAAAGAGAAGATAACCAAGACAAAGTTGGGTATTAGAGATCAATTCCAACACCTTGAGAGCTCAATTAACCGGCTCAAAGAAGCAATTAATTAAAGTGCCCGAGAAGGATTTAACACATCCGGAAGGAGAGGTGGGCATAACGTTGAGAAGACAATGGCTCGTACGAAGATAACCGCTACCAAATCAATCGGACGAAAGGCTTCGAGGAAGCAACGTGCCATCAAGAAGCCGATGAAAATTGTATTAACCACGAGAGGAGTTAGGAAGAGTCATCGTTACTATTTCCGAACCGTTGCTCCTTGTGTAAGCTTCCCTTCCAGCATCGAGTTAGCTTCATTGAAGGCGCTGTTGAACAACTTTGAATTGCAAAACTTAAATCAAATATATAGCCAGAATTGACCATACTAGATACTAGCAAACTATAGATATTCTAGGAAGAAAAAAACCTCAACCAAAATTTTCACCCATAAAAATAAACCCAGTGAAAGAATCACAAACTAAACTCAATAAAAGGAATCACAAACTAAACCTAAAAAAACCAGACGGCGAATAACATCGCATCGTCTTCCATACAAAAACTCTCATAGACATCCCTTAAACTTTATGTCGAACATAAAAGTTCTATTAGGTTACACTCATCTCCCTCTTATGAAGTCGGTAAAAACACCAGATATCGGAGAGAGAAAAAACTCAAATCACATTTAGTTCTA